GGATTATTGCCAATTGCTAGAAGGGTATGTTTGACACCCACTATGGCTGTGCTAAAAAGGAATAGAAACAGGAAGTGATGTCACATGCAAAATCTCTATTCTACATTTATATTCCTTTAACAACCTTAAATAACTTGTTTCATCTTCTTACAAAGTCAAGCCAAAAGACAAGGAAACACAACCCAAAGAAGCACTATATCATGAAATGAGTTATTTAATGTGATAAGTCAGATTGTTAGAATTAATACTTTAATAACACTAACAGTGCACTGAATTTTGCCATGACATTAAAGTATTTAGCAAATACACACACACACACACAAAATAAGATCTTTTACATAGTAATAATAAAAACTCTATTGATGGTGCTTTTTTAATTATATTAGTGAAATATGTAAGAATAAAATAATTATTTCTAATGCAAACGTTCATTAAAAGCTATTACTACTAGTACTAGTGTATTACTATTACCAGATGTTACAATTATTAAAACAAAGAACTTTCATTATTTCAGTTTAATTTTCACATGTTATACACAACGTTACTAAAGGCAACTCATGAGCTCTAGAATATTAATACTAATCGAAACACTAGTTTTACAGCATAGGTTCCTTCAAGTTTAATCGTATAATTAATTTTCACATCTACGATCTAGGCCTATGGCTATACTTTAGTTTACCTTCAAGAATCTAGGACTGTTAATGTTACTTGTTGTTAATGATCTTTAGAAAACGAAATACAAACTTTTTTGGGTGGTGGTTCATCAGATAACCGTGATGGGGGAACATTTTTAATGTCTACATCGCTTTTCTCTTCTTTTTCTACAACATGTGCTTTTCGTTTAGCTTTACTCCTCGCCATATTTTTCACACTAGTGCCATCTATTTAAACATAACCATAATCATTTATACCTTTTTTTTTGTTTTTAGTTGTGGTAATCTTAACATACATTTCAAGATATTAAATTGTGTAACATAAGAAAAAAGTTATATAACTTACATAAGAAATTAAAATTTACATACTTTTAATGTAGTGGTATCAGTTCAAAAATTTGTTTAATAACAGCTTAATTGCAT